ATCCAATGTGGTAACATTTAAAAGAACAGCAAAATCCATTTTACAGTCTTTTTATACACGCCCATCACAGAATGATCTAGAGTCCGACAAGCGAGCTATAATAGCGACAGCAGCCAAGCTTTTTAGAAGTGACATCCTATCCACCGATAACTTGGAAAATGTATGTAGATGCTTCCGACTTAGCATCCACCGAAAAGAACATTGGTTGCATTCCAGAAAGTCTTCAAATTCTTTTGAAAACACTATTTAGCGAGAAGAACCCGGATGTAAAGGTAGCATCAATTGGCCAAGCAATTATCCAGGCGGCTAGACATAGAGTGACTATCTGTCTCTTGCAAATAGGACTTGGTGTCCAGATGTATCATCTCTTTGCATCCAAATTCTCGTTCGACACATTGCACAATCTTAGATTTTGCTCCCCATATGCGGAGGTTCATCAGTGTATACGTCTATTATGATTATTATACATATATCAGGCAGTTATGGTGTTCCATCGCAATATATCCATCATTCAGCAGTTATTGCCTCAATGATAATAGCATCCCTTGCAATGATAAGGCAGACATACGTAAATTTAATATTTTATGAAACTTCATACAAAATATATATATATTTGCTCAATCCCGTAGCTATGTTTTAAGGTAAGATACTCCTTGCAAATTGAGGATTTTGAGTAAAACCAATTTTCATGATGTAATACTTTCCATAACATCCAAATACCCCGCCCTACCTTCCGTCACGTAACCCATATCTCGACGACAAAGCCACGGAGTGATCTTCTTTCCTCAAACCCCCTTTATGGAGCCTAAAGACAGCCGAATCTGGATGGAAAGGGAGGAATACAGGGTGAGACTCCATAAAGTTATGGTATTACATCATGAAAACTTATTTTACTTCAAAAACATCAATTTCATTTCGATATCAGTAATAATTACTTAAACTATAGTATGCGAATTCGTCTTACCGTAGTGGAGGCTTCGAATCCAGGCAGGCCAGGCTAACGGAGCAAACTCGGGACATGCTCAAGGTAGGTTAAAGGGTTCAAGGAACCCCACAACAAACGCCTCGAAAGTAATTGAAAATGGAAATACCTTCCCGTGCAACGAGCAGGTGTACCACCGAGGTGCCTGATAGCATACAAGTTAAAACCACGGAAATCACTGAAACACCACCGGTCCGAGGGAATACAATCAATCGGATTAAGAAGCGAAGGGCCGGAGAAAAAAATCTGTGAAGGAAGTCTGTCCGCGCCAGATAGAGCGGACATGACCTCCTGAAAGGAAGAACATACAGAAGAGCCAAAGAGGCAGCATTGAGGATTGAGGAGGTTAAACCTAAGTATCCAACAGGGATAAAGCAACCTATCCAGCTCCTCAGACCCAACGAGGGAAGTCTAATTAGGATCGGATGTGAAGCAAGGAACCTGATTTTTAGCCATGAAGGCAGGATCAGTAAGAAGGGTAACGGCAGAGTAATTCCTTGACCACTGGAAGCAGTATGGGTGAGAGTTCAAGGCATGGATATCACGCCTCCTTCGACCTGAGGCCAGGGCAATTAGGGATGCCGCCATGTAGGTAACAAACTTCAAGGAAGCAGACATTAAGGCTCATAAGGTGCCCGCATCAGCGATTCAGGCACCAGCAGCAAATTCCACTGAGGAGCCATCTGCCAGACCCTAGGCCTGTCAAACCCAAACTCCCTAGCCAAGGCAGAAAAATAGAACGAGCCTACATCCGGCCTACCATGAACAGAGAGCACACTTGCAATAGCCGTACGATAACCAGCGATAGTGCCAGGGGCAACTTTCCGGTCCCTTAACATCCAGAGAAGGAAGTCTGCAAACACCTGGACAGTAGCCTTGATCGAATCAAATTTCCTGCCGACACACCAATCATAGTAATTCCTCAATCGTGACTGGTAAACGGCAGATGACGAAGACCTAATTGATCAAAATATGCGATCTGTCATTTCCCTAGAAAAGCCCGCCTGAGCGAGGCCTCATGATATAGCTTCCACGCGTAAAGTTTGAGGATCTCCGGGCGAGAGTAAATTGTCCTAGACCGAGGCTGTCAGAGGAGGTTCGATCTGAGAGGGAGAGCCAGGGGCGCTTCCACAAGAAACGACAAAAGCTCTGGAAACCAATGCTGCCTCGGCCACATGGGCGCTTTTAGGAGGAGGGAACAATGATGCTCCCGAAACTTCTGTAGCACCCTGACCACCAGGTTGAAGGGCGGTAGTGTAGAGCGTCCGCGGTTGATTCAGTTGCCACTCTGTCAATACCGGCTGGCGGCGCCTGGAAAGAGTATCCGCCAGAATATTCAACCAGCCTGGAAAATTCTTCACACAAATTGTCAAATTAATCTCCTGGCAAAGAAGAAGGATAGTGAGGGCACACAGGGTGTGAGACCTGATTCCCCATCTTTCCAGATACGCAGCAACTGTAGAATTGTCCTTAGCTACACAAACCAACTTGGAATGCAGGATCCCCATTAAAGACTGCAGAGCCAACAGAACAGCTCTCATCTCGAGCACATTGATGTGCCCAGATTCCCCAGACCATTCCCCCGACCGGCAATGCCCGTCGAGGTACGCTACCCACTCCGTCATGGACGCATCGGTGTACAGGGTCAAAGTAGTGGGAGCCGGCTTGGATGATGGAACCCCTCGAAGAACATTGTCCTGATGAGTCCACAAGCGGTCGAACTCCTTGATCGACTGGTTTAGAGGAAGCCAGATTTCGCAATCCCTTGAAGAAGGAATTCAATTGGCAAGGAGAAATATCTGGGGACCTGATGTAAAAACACAAGAGGCCCAATGGGCATGCATCGCTCACCTGGTATTAATCTCACACTTGTAATCTTAAAAGTGGACTAAAATACAGCTTCAGGCAGAATATCAGTGTGACTTTGAATGTCAAACAATGACAGTGGGTCAAGGTCATTCATTTAAACAAATTTGGTAGCCCTGATTGCTACAGGCCAAATATCAGTCCCCTGGGCCTTTTGGTTATTGAGAAGAAGTTGTTTGAAGATTTTAAGACATTTGATACCTGTGACCTTGAAAGTTGGTCAAGGTCATTCATTTGAACAAACTTGGTAGCCCTTCATCCCAGCATGCTTCTGGCCAAATATCACCCTGGGAATTTTGGTTATTCAGAAGAAGTTGTTTAGAGGTTTTAAACATATTTGACCCCTGTGACCTTGAAAATGGATGAAGGTCATTTATTTGAACTAACTTGGTAGCCCTTCATCCCAACATGCTACTGGCCAAATATCATCACCCAAGGCCCCTTGGTTATTCAGAAGAAGTTGTTGAAATGTTTTGACCGTATTTGACCCCTGTGACCTTGAATATAAGTCAAGGTCATTTGTTTGAACAAACCTGGTAGCTCTTCAACCCAGCATCTTACTGGACAAATCTCATTACCCTAGGTCTCTCGATTATTCAGAAAAAGTTGTTTAAAGGTTTTAAACATATTTGACCCCTGTGACCTTGAATATAAATCAAGGTTATCTTTGGTTAAATTTGGTAGCAATTTATCCCAGCATGTTACTTGCCAAGTTTATGCACCCAAGGCCTATTGGTTATTCAGACGAAGTTAATTAAATGTTTTAAACATATTTGACCCCTGTGACCTAGAACCGCCGACAGTAAACATAGTGATGGCGGACCACGCGGTACACCACCTGGATACGTTGAGTAAAAATCCGGCCGAAAAAGGCACAGAAATAGTTATGGTAATCATTGCTGAAATGAAAATAATGTATGGAGCTCAAAGTCACCAACATAATTTAATGTTTACACATTCGCAGGCGTCAGGACCTAGCCGGCCCCTTCCTTGAGGTCTGCTGTGACATCGATATATATTGCGAATGGATTACATTGTTAATGAAAAAGACAAAACAAACAATAAATAAAAAGTGTGTTTAATTTAGTACTAAAGCATCCTCTGCTTTCTGACGTACTGCAATAGAATGCCTCGTAAGTGATCACAACAAAATGAGAGTACAAAATCAACATATATCACTGTGAATCAGACGTGTTTTTCACAACACTTCTCATGCCAAAATAATATCTATTTACAATAAAATTTATAAATAAGCCATTTATGAATTGTTGTATACCACATGATGTCACCTCGTCAAATAACGAAATTAACCAAGGAACCACGTCGATAGCATCACCGATTAGAGGTTAAGTTATCATTTAATAGAACAAGTAAATGGTGAAAGGGAAATCTGTGTATCTTGATTCTCCAAAAAGTGTATAACAAAAAAAACCTTGAAAAGCTTTTAATCTTTATCTCTGGCAACTGATTTTTATAGCACTGTGTTTGATAACAGGATCCAACAAGACATGATTTTAGGAACTGACCTTCCTGTTGATCAGATCATCGTGACAAGAGATCCCATAGGGATCTTGGCGCCCACCATTGTACCATCTTCATAAGTTCTATGTTAGGTCGATTTTTTCTTTCCTCTTTACTCTTATTTGTTTAATCAGTTTGCCTGTCCGCTATATTTATCAATCCGTTGATCAACCTCAAAAGTTAACATGCACAATTCAGGACCAATGGAAACCTTCATATCAAATTTGAAAACAAAATCCTTTAGTAAATTCTAAGAAATAGCGATAATAAACTTAAAATGTAACAAGATGGGCGGCCAATATGATTTGATATGCATAACTAAGAACAAGATGTATCCTTATGTGAAATTTAAGAAAGATCACTCCAATACGTTATGAGCAATAATCATATGTCATAGTCCAAGATGGCTGCCTGTCGGCCATTTTGTTTATCCGATCAGTCTCAAAAGTAAACATGCACAACAATGGATAAAGGGGAACCTTCATATCAAACTTGAAAAAGATCTCTCCAGTACTTCCTGGGAAATAGCGATAACAAACCTTCACTGTCATAATCCAAGATGGCTGCCTGTGGGCCACTTGGTTTATCCGATCAGTCTCAAAAGTAAACATGTACAACCAGGGAACAAGGAGCACCTATATATAAAATTTGAGAAAGATCCCTCTGGTACTTCCTGAAAAATAACGATAAACAAGAATTGTTTAAGGAGGGACGACGGACGACTGACGACTGACGGACGGACGGACCACGGACGATTTGAATAGCCTACCATCAGATGATGGTGGGCTTAAACTAAATCCGTTGCGAAATTCAATAACTTGATAGAAGAAGATTGCGTTAAATAAAACTATATTTCTGATGCAAACGCTGTCAATTTTCAACCAAGACAAACGTGACTTTCCTATTACAGAATATAACAGCACATGGCTTACTCAAACGTATTTCTGCAACTTAACTTAGTCACAGGCTTCAAGATTAATCACTTGAATCGGTTATAATTATTAGAAAAGCATGCATCTAATGATAGCATATGATAAGCGAACGTGATACATCTAAATCCAAATTTCCAAATCGACCAGTTTGTTGTTTTGGGAAAGACAGAACCTCTGGATGCTATGTCCGTAGTTTGCTTTCTTCAACTAGGAAGAAAGTATATAAAACCTGACGAAACTAAAATGCATTGGTTCGACAGACAAAGTTCCTCCATCACAGAATTTACAGAAGCATATACTGGCTTCACATTATGGTCAACACAACCATAAAACATAAACATAACATACACTTACAAAAAATAAGAGACACCGGTTTAAGTATGTCTGACCAATAGGAACAAGTAGGATTGCGTAATGCCTAGTCATATAAATATTAAATAAAGTAACAAATTTTGATGACAGATATTAGTTGAACAGCTTTTTTGCGATTGCATATTTGAATTTTTGAAAATGGTCGGTATCAATTCATGGGACAGATCTATCTACAAAAAAAGGTAAGAAGCATAAAATGTAATATTCAATATTTGAGAGTATATCTACTGATGGCAAGCTGTTCAGATATTTGTTCCACAGAGTACTGAAAAATAGAGATTTCCTTTTTTACAGTAAATCATTTGTGTAAAAACGAAATATTGGCTCTCTAATGACAAAGACGAAATGAAAACTGGTTAAAGAAAAAATAAACTGGTCTGCCAAATGTCATAGATCGTATGTTAAGGAAAAACTTAATGCGCCACACAATGTCGAAAAATCTCCGCCAAGTACAAATAGTTTGGCCTCATTTCGAAACGATTTGCAGTTCGTATTTTGGAAAGACAATAGCAGAAAAAAAGCAAGACAACATGATTGACGTCCGAATATAACTTCAATGAACAACTCTAACGACTTAAACTATCGGTCATCTCACATATATAAGACAGATGGCAAATCAGGTACAAACTACACGACAATAGGTTCCCAGATCAACAGATTACAATATTTGTTTCATTCCAACAACAGCAAATACGATTTACAGTGTGTGCAACTATCGGACAACTTACAATGTTGTAATGTCCACTTAGTCAACAAGATCGGAAGAAAATAGCAAACAACTTGTGAGACTGATTCTATATCAATATAGCTGTATATACCATTGTTCCACTGGTCTCACGCTATCCGGGGGGATATTGTATTTGAACATTAGTTATATTCTATTATATTTCTTTTTTGTTCTTCTGTCTCGATAAAGGAGCCGATAGCAATCTTTGACGATCTTTTTATTATCTACACTGTTGGCATTACTTCCTGGTCCCTGAAGAAACCATTGCATAAAGTTACTGAAACAATGTATTTGAATTCGCGCTTTACGTTGTTGTAGTCGAACTGCGAATATTAAAACAGCAATAATTTACACAAGATCTATATTTTCCATTGATCTTAACAAAAAAATGACATAAAAGATTCAAATTCTTTTCAAAATCGATGGTTGATTTTCAACAAATCGAACACCCAACAGTCATTATATGCAAGCTTTTCTCAACGTAATTACTATGACGTCACATTTGTAATGACGCAATGATCCTCATAGCAGAGCTTCGGTCTCAAAGTCAAGTGAGAGGGCAGAGCTAATGTAGATACATGATATTAGCTTCTTTGACAGCAAACGCAATACTATTCTAAAACAGTTTACATCAAAGAAACAGTCCGTAATCGTGTTACTGCGAAATAAACTACCCAGGAATATCTCGTGTGAAACAATCTCTAGAGTGACAATCCAAATGAGACTAATGGCTGGCTGGGAACATATAAACTTGGTCGTATTTAAAGTAAGATAATGTCGTGTGTAAATAAAAAGAGTGTTGGGAATAGCTAGAAATACAAAATATAAAGCAAAGGGATAAATAAATCAAAAAGAAAAACTAAAGAGGCAGTTCTTATTTGTTTGTCCCATACAGGAGCGATGTACTGCTTGAGTCGTGTCTAGAATAAATAAAACTCGTAATAGAATAATACCTGAAGTAATTTAGATAATTTAACATATCCCACTTTCTAATCATAAAAGTAAATCATTACATCATGTTATAACAGTATGCCGGCATTTGTTTGAGGAGTCAGACGCCCACAATAGGATAAAAGTGTACACATAGTAGAAAGTCTTGCAGATCAGTTGTCGATTTCACAGAGTATCGCATACCCGCTGGCGATAGATAATTCATTTAGGACATTCCAAATGTTGTAGTTGCTTAACAACCTATATCTTGTTACGTATTTGCGACATAATCACTGAACACTGTGAATAGCTATATTCAGTGACGACAAAAAACAGCATCGTCATCCAATAAAATAACACAAACTGCAGTTTATAGTTGTTACAACCTTCCTATCATCGTCACATTATGCAAATCAGTTTGTACAACATTCAATTTACGCTTCCAATAAAATATGACAAGAAAACACTGTGAACACAAGATGTGTCGGTTGATAACCGAAGGGAATGTGATAAACGTTGTGAAACGTTTTCTTGTGTCAATGTAATGTTCCATCAAATGACAGACATAGATGACAACTAATATCCTCCATCTCATTATCAGCACGTGATAGCAATTGTCTACATCCTAAAAGGTAACACGGAGCTCATCCGACTACCGTAGATAATGGATTTTTCCCCGAAAAAAATGTCCATCTAAGATGATAATAAATACTTTCACATTTTACTACCCTTATGACCTTTAGAAGGATGATTTTCTCATCTGATAAGCGCCCGTAAAAAATATGCGAAGGTTATAGTTGGCTAAATAATGTTTATGCTTTTCCAAAACATACATTAATATAACGCTTCCATAATATGTTCACAACCACAGCGGTGTTTTTTTTTTTATATTTTTGAATTTTCAGTTAATTTCTGGTAAATCCATTATAGTTTTTAAATTCCCCAAACTTTTACTCCATAAGATCAATTTTATTTATTCATTACTCCTAACAATATGTTATCTCATGAATAGCTAGCTAGGAATTAATTTGATAGACCTAAAATATCCCTCACAATAAAAAAGCTATTTATAGTATGTGTATTTCCAGTTCATCTCCGTGTAGATCCCTCCATTGGTTCTTTAGCAGTAGCATAACTTTATTTATGTCTCTGTCACACTGAACAAGAACAGTCAGGCCCACCTCCGGAAGTGACGGTCTCCCGCACGTCTTCTCATCTGCACTGAAATGTTCAACAGAGGTGTCGACCACAATTTCCTCTGCTTCATCAGAAAAGATGAGTGTCAGCTTCTGGGAGTTATCGCGAAAGAACAGAACTCTCTTTAAAGAATCTACTTTGCGGATGTCGGTGATATGATACCTAGCTGTGTTGGGCAATCCCCTGGCGAAGTCCGGTAGAGGATAACTGGCCACGTCTTCATGGATCAGACAAATGTAATCGTTGGTCAGGACAAGACTTCGTGATTCCATACTCTCAATTGCACCACAATGACTTTCAGACGTAGCGACATAGCAAAGTATGTACATGAGTATATCTGCCTTCCTTCGAGACAGGGGCGGCAATTGAAGACGTTCAGTAATGATATACAAAAGGTCAGACATAGTATCCTCGCCTGGATAAATGAATGGAACTTTACTGGGATGTAAATACTCCATGCCTTCAAGTGTGGTCTTAGTCCTCTTGTTAAAGGCCCGGTAGAAATCTTGTTCAACATCAGCTGGGCTTCGATCTATCATCGGTGATGATGCAAAGATGGATAGCATTGTGGTGAGCTGCCGCATGAACTTTTCTGTAATGAGGCCGTCCATACACAGGAGTGTGTAAGTCGAGTTAGAGTCATTTCCAGTCAAACGAACACATTGGTCAAAGAGGCCGACATTAACCTGTCGCAGTTCAGAGTAGTGGAACACGTGATAACACCGTATGATTGTACTGTCTTTCTGACTACTGTGGAGGATACCCGAACTGTGGTGTTTGTCAACTTGCTTCCTCTGTAAGCCTATCAAAGAATCAGACTTGTGTCTGGCGTGCGTCATCCAGGCCTGACGTTCAACCAATGGTGACTTGACAACTCTATCAGATACAAAGTACATCGCTCGCGAGCTCATCATCACACAGCTGATGATCTCCTGGTGCGGATCCTTGTATGGCACCACCACAACCCACAGTACATAATGTAGCTGTTCAGATTCGGTGCTTATTAGTGCAATATCGCTGTGGAAGAACTGAGCCAGTTCCTCACCTTTCATTTCCATCATAAGTTGTAATTTCGGTGAGAGAGTTTTCACTAGAGTGTGAGAGCGGATACACGATTCAAGTTGTGTCTGCAGTTCAGGTGTAAGGTAGTTCAGATCAAACTTTCTTGACATGTGGGGAGTCATTGCAGTCTTTGTATTCAAAGTCATATTGGCGATAGTCTTTGATCGAACATGTCTAACCTCAACCTCTGCATTTTGCGAGTCTTCCCCAGATGATTCAAATCCAGTGGTCTGCTCTTGCATCTTCGGTTTGCCAGTAGCATCAGTTGAAGCATCTAAGCTGTCAGATGACTCATTTCCACCTTCCGGCTCCTCTCGGATAGTTGGCGACATTCTATGAGTGTGCTCTGATCGCAGGATTGTGAGCTGATCTAAGAAACTGTCTCTTGCCTTCTGCGATAAGAAGCATACCTGAAACCCGACTGCACCTATCAGTTCATGAAAAACCATTGATACGTCGAATGGTTCAAAGAGGACTAGAAGATTTTTGCTCTGAAAGGACGACGTTCGACGATGCTTTCGCGTCCTGTGAACATTTGCACCAATATTTATATCACTAATATTCGTCATTACCGAATGTTGCTGTAAATAAGTGAAATGAGGTTTTAATTTGATGTCTTCTAGTTTATCAATGAATGTTGGTCTAGGCCAAAACAAGCAGTCACGTTGAATGAGATACACCTTATTTTCTGAAAGAAGTAATAATGCAAATTCTTCGGAACCACTGATGGAGACAACTGCCGATACCACTACACGTCCAGTGCAAAGTCCTTCGTCATCCTCCTGGGAAAAAACTTGTTTTGACATATCAGAATTTTGAGAACAGTTAACGATATCAATACTACCCAAATCAGACAAATGCAGTTTGACCTGTAAATCATCTGTGAAAGCTTTTCCTATGTCAGAATCGGCAGCCTCAAGGACAAATGTTCCACTTGGGCCAACAAATGACTCTTCAAGTCTAATAAAGCAGTAGCAAGGACCAACCAGAGCTTGTTGCACATTATTAAGGGGCATGATATAGAATGTCTCAAGATCTGGTACTCCGCTGAAGCCACAACTGCCATGCTTGAGACGAAGGAGGAAGAGGCGACGCTCTGTTAGCACAGCACAGCAGGGAATATTGTCCTCCTGCCGTGAAAACTGGACAACATTACACCACATCACATTCACCAGCTGTTCAATCGCTTGGTCCTCCGAGTTAGAACCGAATAACCGAGTCTGAAGCCAGGCCACAAACTCGGCATTTCTGTGGTTGGGTAATTTTGCAATGTTGACATAGGTGATGACAGGCAAATTTTCATTTGAATGTCCTCTACTACGCCTTCTCTCCTTCACTTCCGTTTTTGATTTTCTGCAAAGGAAATATTTGTGATAAACCATATTGATTATGTCAAAGGAAAGCAGCTTACTAACTGAGCGGGATTCGCACTGTTCCATAAAAACAGTATATCAAAACATTATGATAATCTGAGTCTACAAAGGAAAGTAATTTTAAATTCTAAACATCAAATGCATGTAAACTAACTGTTATGACAAAAGTTATCTTTCATTATCATTTGAAGATCACTCCATTTATAAGTTGTTATAATGTCCTTACAGCTAAATATTTTACGTGTATTTTTTTCCATCATATCCCAGCAATATTTTTTCCAGATGCGTTCGCAAAAATCAAAACGTCTAGATTTCTGCAGCATGCAATTTAAAAATTATGCTTAGTCTAATTTATCATATCTGAAATGCTAATGTTGTTTTTAACATATTAACGTCAAATAAATCTCCCATTAGAATAGCATGTAAAATTAGCATATGAATATCACAAATAAACAGGAATATTTGTCAAAACTGAAAGTCACTGTTGAAAACATAAATAACTCCAATGATTGGTATGTGTGTGGGGGTGTTCTCGGGGTTTACACTATCTCATCACTTCAGCTTGCTTGGGACTTTTTGAAATAGAAACCCTGATCATATTTATTTATATATTTTTTCATCACACCTCCATTAAAAATCAACAAGATCTTAAATTATATTTAACTCTCATAATTGTCATTTGTTACATATTCATGAATCAACTCTAAATGAAAGAAGATTTCAAAAGTGTGAATATATTTCGTAAAAGTAGAGAAATTGCAGTCTGGAAATAGGGGAAAAATGTTATTCAGCGAAATATATCCCTACGTCTGATAACACCTGTTGGCTATATAAAACACTTTACCCTGACTGTCCCAACACCTGTACATCATATATAAGTCTGTGCTTCATTTTTCAAATGTATGTCAGATCGTTTATTATTTTCATTGCCTAGCCTGTTCCTGTTGTATTCGGGTTTCACGAACATTCTTTGTACATCATATGAATCCACTGATGCATGCGATACATGTTTAACTAAAATGTTTCTCATTGCTCATCATATAACCTCGCATTACAAACACCCCAGGTAAACAAAAATTAGCAGAAAGAATTTTGTACGGGTAAACATTTTCAAGCATACTGTATTTAAGTATTAAGCTTAAGGTATAAAAAAATACAATTAAATATATTTGCCATCTCAATATGAACAAGAGGCCCAGAGGGCCTGTATCGCTCACCTGGATATCTAAGCAATCATGGCAAAATATTCTCCAAATGAGATCCAAGGGAATATGCCAAACCCCAAGGCCAATCCAGGATCAATTCTTATATCATGACTGCCTTCGTCTCTTTTTGCCCAGCATTTGTATTTATAGTTTTGGGGTTGGGATCTCAACCATTTCTTAGTTATGACCCAGGGGTTAAGTCTGCAAAGGTGGGTCTGCAGACCCTGGGATCAATTCTAATATCATGACTGCATTATAGTCTCTTTATGCCCAACAATTGTTTATATAGTTTTGGGGTGGGGATCTTAACCATTTCAAAGTTATGACCCAGGGGTTCAGTCTCCAAGGGTGGGGCAGACCCCAAGGCCATCCTGGAAGCATATGTCCATTCATTTCTTTATACTTAGCAATTGTATATATGGTTATAGGGTGGGATCTCAACTGCTTCCAAGCTTTGACTAAGAAACTAGGTCCCTAGAGGTTCAGTCAGACCCCAGGGTCTATTCTATTATCATGACTGCATTCATCTCTTTATGCCCAGCATTTGTATATATATTTTTGTGGAGGGGATCTCAACCGTTTCAAAGTTATGACCCAGGGACTATGTATCCAAGGGTGGGGCCAGACCCTAGAGCCATCCTGGAAGCAACTGTGCATTCTTCTCTTCATACTCAGCAATTGTATATAAGGTTATACGGTGGGTATCTCAACCATTTCCTAGTGATAAACTTATTTTGGCCCCACCCCTAGCCCGGGGGATCAGCCCCAAACTTTGTACAATTTTGAATCTCCACCACCTAGGGATGCTTCCAGTCAAATATGGTTAATATCCATTTCTTAGTTCCAGAGAAGAAGTCGCTTAAAGCAATATAGCAAAATTGCCCCCTTTTGGCCACGCCCCTCAGCCCCCTTGGGGGTCAGCCCCACTATTTGTACAATTTTGAATCCCCACCACCTAGGAATGCTTCCATGCAAATATGGTTGATATCCATTTCTTAGTTCCAGAGAAGAAGTCGCTTAAAGCAATAAAGCAAAATTGCCCCCTTTTGGCCCCGCCCCTCAGCCCCCTTGGGGGTCAGCCCCACCATTTGTACAATTTTGAATCACCACCACCTAGGAATGCTTCCAGTCAAATTTAGTTAAATTCCAATCAGTGGTTAAGAAGAAGGGGTCGTTTAAAGAAATTGTTGACGGACGACGGACGCCATGGTATGGCATAAGCTCACCTTGGTCTTCGGACCCGGTGAGCTAAAAAAAGCATTACAGGTACACAAATCACTGAAAACCCATGGCCACGACACATAAAATAGTAGCACTGCACCCATATAAAATTTGAACCCAATCAAAAAATATTAGTCCAGACTAAAAATGTGTTCAAATATCTGATTCAATGTTTATCTGTTTTCAGATTTAAATACCAGGATGTATTTAAGTGCCAATCAAAGACTGGATGATATTTATTATAAATTCTTTTTTTATAGAAATTACAACTGTATAATTGATACATTAAGATATATGTTCTACACCTACAGAGTTATGAACACAGTCGAAATAATAATGAACATGCTTTTGTATATACTTTGTGTAATGGTGGATGAGTTTTTGAAGTATTTTCACTCACAAATAAAATAATTCATATCTTTAACATGAACTTTGACTAACATTTCTATTTTTAATTACAAACATATTCTATGAGTATTTGAACCTGACATAATGATTACTAATTTCTCCACGAATTAGGCTTAAGATCTTTAAACTTGCCTAACATACTGATATGACAGTTACATAGATTTGTGAACGATGATAAGCATAAGACGCACATGTGATTGCAACTTGCTGTAAAATCTGGTTGCCGAAGTCACGTTTGTAATGCACTGATTGAAATAACTTTTTGGCCATTAAATTTTACATTAGCTAAAGTCCAACATTAAGGTAACATCATTATGCAATTTTAAATGAAATAGGTCTTATTTTTTACAGATTTTTCTATCCAAATCAAGAACATTAAATAAGGTATGTAATATGCAATAAATCACACTCGCTTTAAACTAGACCTGCAAATCCATTTTTCGTGCTCATGGACATTTTTTCTCTCACAATAAACATTTTCTACCTCCAATTACATTGTTATGATTGGTTGGTTGTAAAGAGTTTAACGTCCTATCAACAGCTAAGGTCATTTAAGGAAGTACATCATTATGAACATGGGTGAAATTGCAATTGCATTAAAAAGTACTATGAATATAAATGAGTTAGTTATGCATCTAAGATTGTTAGTAATGCATCTAAGATTGTTAGTAATGCATCTAAGATTGTTAGTAATGCATCTAAGATAGTTAGTTATGCATCTAAGATAGTTAGTTATGCATCTAAGATAGTTAGTTATGCATCTAAGATAGTTAGTTATGCATCTAAGATAGTTAGTTATGCATCTAAGATAGTTAGTTATGCATCTAAGATAGTTAGTTATGCATCTAAGATAGTTAGTTATGCATCTAAGATAGTTAGTTATGCATCTAAGATAGTTAGTTATGCATCTAAGATAGTTAGTTATGCATCTAAGATAGTTAGTTATGCATCTAAGATAGTTAGTTATGCATCTAAGATAGTTAGTTATGCATCTAAGATAGTTAGTTATGCATCTAAGATAGTAAGTTATGCATCTAAGATAGTTAGTTATGCATCTAAGATAGTTAGTTATGCATCTAAGATAGTAAGTTATGCATCTAAGATAGTAAGTTATGCATCTAAGATAGTTATGCATCTAAGTTAGTTAATTATGCATCTAAGAGTGTTAGATATGCATTTAAGATAAGATAGTTAGTAATGCATCTAAGATAGTAAGTTATGCATCTAAGATAGTAAGTTATGCATCTAAGATAGTTAGTTAGTATGCATCTAAGATAGTAAGTTATGCATCTAAGATAGTAAGTTATGGATCTAAGATAGTTAGTCATGCATCTAAGATAGCAAGTTATGCATCTAAGATAGTTAGTTATGCATCTAAGATAGTTAGGTATGCATCTACGATAGTTAGTTATGCATCGAAGATAGTAAGTTATGCATCTAAGATAGTAAGTTATGCATCTAAGATAGTCAGTTATGCATCTAAGATAGTTAATTATGTATCTAAGATTGTTAGTAATGCATCTAAGATAGTTAGTTATGCATCTAAGATTGTTAGTTATGCATCTAAGATAGTTAGTTATGCATCTAAGATAGTTATTTATGCATCTGAGATAGTTAGTTATGCATCTAAGCATACTAAGTACAATATACAAGATACACTGTATACCGGAAATTTTTCGCCAAGTCAAACTTTCGTCTTTTGCCGGTAAAATCCATATTCATCCTGTAAGAATTTCGCCAATCTTCCAATCTTTAAATTACTATGTATATTATATTTTCTATTGATGTTCACTATAATGATAATTCACCCTCGGTAGGGAGGGTGAAAAAAGGTTAAAATCAAATTGCAGTGAAAATTCCCAGTATACAGTATATTCCCAGGTTACCATAGACACAGGGGTTAGTATGTAGATAAAGACATGCAGATATTACAATTTGACTTAATTTTCCAACCAAGTAAAATCCTGTTTTAAATAATTGAAACAGGGTAAATATTCAACTGTTGGCTAAAAAATTGTAATAAAAGCAATTAAATAAGTCAATTAAATGCCAGCATTGAAAACTATTTCAAGTGTTAAAAATAGGAAAGACTCACTTCAACATTTCTTGGTACAGAAATCGTTTTTAGATGGGTAATATAATGTTCTTGAATAAAAGATGAAAATATTTTTTTTGAGAATATAAGAAAATCAATTTTTGATCACAGAATTAATTTCAATATTAAAATTATCATATTTTGTTTAAAATATTTAATACACTTTAAATGCAAATCATCATTGATGATACAGGTGTAGGGAAATTAACTGCTTTTAATGGTAATCCTTTTAACTTTCATGGTAAAAACTGTCAAAAATCCTTTTCATTTAGGAATCCCTGGCACTGTGGTTTTTCCTATTTGAGTAACTACCCCTTTAACTTCCGTTTAGGATATAACTGTAGCACAGTTGGGCAAGGACACTTCCGTTGACCAGGTAGCTCAATCAGTTAGAGATAGTATTCCAATCTGAAGTTTAGGGTTTAAATCAGTGTCTAGCCCCATTGCTTTTTTTGAACTCGGAACACTGTCGTTGATTATACTACTTGTATTTTATCTTTATTACTTCTCCTAATGTCCTGCAAGGTCTGGTTTTTCTTTTCAGAAATGATTTATCAAAGCTATAGTGATGCCTGAAAAAACAGTTTTCAATACTCAGTTACTGTTTTTGGCAGTGTTACAGAGATCCATTAAGGCAAATTTTCGTACTCTTTTAGGTATTGACACAATACCTGAGGAGAATATATTAAAATTTGAGTATCGGAAAGATTAGTGTTACTAGTTAGATATGTTTATGCAGATATCACAAGATTAGCAGAGCAAGGCTACAGATCATCACATTACCACAATAACCAGGCACCAAGCACATAGACAGAGCTTGTCATGCTGATAGCTGCTGTAGAGATGAGAACAATGATAACATTTACCAACAAGAGCTATAAACATCTTACTGTGATAGCACAGTGTGGTCAGCCTCCAGCTTCTCGTCATAACTCCTGTTGCCTGCAGTCTCCACCGGGGCCTGCAACACAATATTGATTTTTCTTATAAAAGACCTTCTGTACAATCGTAAGTTATATTGATGAATGTATATGCTAATTATATTAATTGTATATCTATGTACTATAAAAGTTTTACTTTCTACACAAACAGTGTACATATTAAACGTGTCGCAATGTTTAAAGACCAACTGGTCCCTTTGTCAAGCTACATGTATGACTGAGTCATATCTTGACAATAGCCATGCTTTAGCGTGGCTTATGTTAGCTAGATAGGGCGCTATACCAAATGTTGTATATCAATTATGAACATTAATTTGTTCAGTTTACAGATAAATCAATATTGGTCTTCTATGGTCCATAAAACCTCACATTGATCTTAAGAAAGTGACATAATTGTATATTATTACATCTATTCAATTATGCAAGGACCAATTATTTCTGTATACAGAGTTAATGTGACAGGAGAGTTATTTATTTTGAATTTTTGAATCTGAATTTAACATAACTTGAAATATTTGTAGTCAAGGAACACTGCAAACCTAGCAATCTTGAAAATGCAAATGTAATTCTGAGTGAACATAACAGTACTACAAGTAACTACAAGTAACTATAGCAGTCTACTGTACGTCTACATAACAGTACTACAAGTAACTATAGCAGTCTACATAGCAGCATACTCAGTATATTTACATTTCAATATGCCATTTCTCCTATACCCACTACATATTTCCCCTTTCCTGAAGTTTTGGATAAATGTGCAAAGAGTTGGTAGACATTTTATGTAACCTACATATATGTGGGTAGCAACCTCAACATAATTTTGTTGTCCAGTTATTTTTTAGTTATGGCATCACGATACAATACTTTACACCAGCATATTCCATTGTGACTTACTGATTCACAGATGTTTTCCCCAGACCGAACACAGAGAATCACATGGTTTCCTGGACATAAACTGAATGTTATGGGAGAAAAGGCCCATATACTTGGTGATCATGATTATCAAACTCTCGTTAGATAATTTTCAAATTGTAAAAAGGGGCAGTCCTTTAGCCTTATGACTTGATACAATTTGAAAATTTACTCACTCAAGTCAGATAACTGGAAAGTTTATGGAAAACCAAGAAATTTGTTTTTGTGAACAAAAACTTATGTCTTCCCTCATTAGCCAATGCATATTTGGAAGAATAGAAATGTCACATCAAGATTATGGTGTGTAAACTCTACGCCGTCAAACTTTTGAATTATTCTGGTTCATGTGAAATTATCTATAACAATTTGGTTACGTTTCAGCAGCTATATGGTACTACACACATTTACATGTATATACAAAAAGGAACTATCACACATCTGATTACAATCTGGTTCCTCTATTTGCTCATTATTTTTTATAGCAAGTTTGGTCAACGTGGGAAAAATAAAATTGAACTTATGCTGTAGACAAACTTCGGTATTAAAAATAAACAAAGGGCAATAACTCTTCATATAGTGGGGCATCAGACCCAATTTCAGTGCGATAGATTCTGCCTTCCCAAGATACATAAATATGGTAAGTTTGGTCAGCGTATGTGAAATAACATGGAACTTATGCTCCGGACAAACTTCGGTATTTAAAATAAACAAAGGGCCATAACTCTCTTATGCTCCGGACAAACTTCGGTATTTAAAATAAACAAAGGGCCATAACTCTGTATATAGTAGGGCACGAGACCTAATTCAAGTGCACTGCACACCTTCTGTGGCTGATGCAAGTATACATTAAGTTTGGTCAAGATATCTTTAACAGTTTAATTTACGCGTCGGACAAGAATTTACTGAAAATCTTGTACTTATTTGACCTTTGACCTTCCAGTGCATTGCACATCTTCTGTGAGTGATGCAAGCATACCTCAAGTTTCATCAAGATATGTTTAACGGTTTTAAAGTTATGGCCCAGACAAGTTGTGATTAGAAGGACCAGAAGAAGAAGAACCAGTACTAAAACAATATGTCTCCCTTCATTCCAAGGGAGACATAATAAACCCCAACTGCTTTAGTAAGTATACTGAGTCCAATTTCAGTTGTAGAATATAAACATGACAAGCATCAAATATTCCTCAGGGAACCTCTACATCTATGTAGCTGACAAAGTACTGCATTAAAATCTTACACATTTAAAACCACAATCAATGTGTATATAGTCATACAATCCTGTTCAAGAACCATTGGGTGGATTGAATGACTTATTCAAATGCAGTTTTACTTAGTAATCTACAACAGTTGTAATCTATCAGTAAATTTAGGTATATGATTAAAACATCAATAACAACACTTGATCATTGATATCTGTCTCTAATAATATAGAACCACAAAATGTATAGGCTGCTTTTACATAATAAATGTCAAGTACCCACACTACTTCCCTGATAACTGTCTATTTTATACAGAAAATAAATACACATTAAATGTTAAGTAACATTAAAAAGCAAATGAAAAACCAGAAAAAAGGAGGAAAACAATAATTTGCAGGAAGCAAGCAACACCAATCAAAGCCAAAGGAATTATAATGTTGCAAATATGAACATGTGAAATTAAAGACTTTTGAATTAAAGGGAGACAACATTTAACCAGTATGGGGACACAGGGGTACGTAAATAAAACACTGTGATGCATTATCTGTTCAGTATTAGATACTTCAAACCAGGAAAATGTGGCGTGGGGAATTGCTCATGAGTGACTCTTGAAACTGTATGATCAAAGTGTGATCATTTTCGCAAAGGCCCTGAAATCTATTTATCTAAAATATATATAATGTATAGATACATATCCATAAATACATATTTGTGTGTGGATTTGTTTTGCTTATGTACTCAAACACCAAAAACATGAAAATGTCCACCTTACAAAAAATTCTACTTTTACAGTACCACAAACAAAATGAAGAGTTCAGCTGAGCTCTTTCACATTTTGATAAGTCAAAAATTCTTCCTGCATCAGTTTATATCATGTAACAAACGGAAATCAAAATTTCACCTTTGTTATAGATTAAATAGCAGTTCTTATACTGTAATCCTTGACTATGGGATAATGATTTAAAACTGACACGAGTTCAAGCTTTCTTTTGTATCAACCTTTGAGTCTGGGCCTGTCTGCTGAAGGAACACTAGACTTTGTGACCAGCTCCCTGAGGAGGTGAGGGAGAGATCCCCTTCGGAGTTCTGTCTCTGTGAAGGGACTGGGCTAGCATCCCCCTGGATACCCTCTACGCCTAGGCAAATCAGAAACACGGTCAAGCATGCACAACTAAACACAACATACAGCAACTGTAAAGCACTTAATTTTCGTGAATATTTTTTAGCCAAAATTGGCTTCAAATAATATATTTATCAATAGCAACAGATACGCATCTTGTGTTCAAATGTGTTTGAATAAATAACCCAGAGATGTTTGAACTCAGAATTATTAGTTTTGTCAAGAACTGCATTGAAAATACCTGTTACGGTATGTATATATGCGAAAATATAAGTGGTTTACATATGAAAAAAACAAATAACATATTTAAAAGGAAAAAATATGACCAATTAAGTAATTTCTTGGAAGGAAACGACAAGACAACAGCATCCCAATCAGGCTGATAAAGGGAAATAACTCAGGAGAGAAAAAAAAGAGATATAATTTGTTATTTCCACCACCAACAATTATTTTTTTCATTAGACTTACTTCACATATTTCAACAATTCAACACTTATATATTATCAATGCAATCAAAGATGTATTCACAGCCAAATATAAACCATCTATACATCAAATTCATTTGTTTTGTGTTTTGTTTTTTTATTTTCCACTGATTTCATGTATACGCTTAAACCCACAAATTCATTTATCCAAAAACTGAAAAATAGTTAAATCTTTTCCATCCTGGGATTTTCAGTATTTGTGGTATGCTGTAAGCATTATAGGTACACGTACAAATCAAAGAATTGAAATTATTGATTGCTCAACCTTTGATGCCTGATGTTTATTTGAATTTTTTCTGTATTAGGTAAAGAGGGCAAAGAGTCATTATTTTGAAATCAGATATTTTTCGAGGGGCCGTATATTTCATGGTTCTCTGACAAAACACCATTTTGTGGGTACATGATTTCATGGATTATGAGTACCTACTCAAATGAAGATTTGCCTTATAGATTAAATTTGTAATTACTTTGTTGACATATTGATTCCTCGATGAAGATTATGGATGAAATCAACGAAATAAAAAAATCCATGAAAATTAGTGATTTCATAGAAATGTTCTTGTTCTCGGTTTGTTACCATTGTTTTATGGCCATATTTTTATCATAGCTATACTGAGTAAGGGATACAATAGGTAGGTGCCTTAACACAGGGAGCAATGTGTGTAAGAGTCTGTGGATAACATTTTGAACAGAGAAATTTGCCTGACACTTTCTTTCACTCTCCAAAACTGTTTTCAGTTCATGTTCCAATAAAAAAATGTTCACTTCTGTTGATTCTGTGGTTATTCTTATTCCAAAAAGTTTATCTATTCAAGAAACAATGTTTTTTTTTGTTTTTTGTTTTGGAATAACTACAAAATTTGAACCCCACATAAATTCCTAACTTTACAGTTTAAATATGTGTAACTTTTATAGACAATATTTTTTACTTCTAAAAGAGATTACTACAAGCATACTATTATTAGCTTATTCAAATTTTAGTCAAATCAAGGAGCTACGACATAGTAGCGCACTCTTAAATTAGCAGAATCGCTGTACCTAAATTGATGAATTAGAACAAATGGCATTCTCTGCAATAGACTGCATGTACAGCGGTTGTTTTTTAATGTCCCATGAAATCTTGCGTTTCATGGTTTGAAAAGCCTGTGCTAGTTTAATTTTAGCTGAGGACACGAATTAGTGGACAAGCTGTAACATAAAAGCTACTAAAAGTAGACTATCACGAAAATTAGTACGCTTACAGTTTGTTAATTACTAAATGATGAAATTGTAAGGTGTATTACTAAATATAATATCAAATACAATGTAAAATTGAATTGTCATATAAATAATGTTCACTTCAGATTATTTCTGCACGTTTTCCTACTGTTAAAGTGGAGATAACACAGCAGTGTGGAAATGCTCCAGCTTTTTTTAATTAGTGTATTCATACACTCATATATGTAAGATATTAAGAATTATAAATAGATTACAGAATTACTTTCCACACCACAGTCAGTTTAACTCGTTCACCCCTACATTTTTAACCTGGACTTGCCCAGTCTTTGATTTAGTGAAGTTCAAATGTGATTTTAGGGGTGATTGGGTTAAAGAGTCATAACATGAATATTTCCAGAGTGTGGAATTTCAACTTTTACAGCAAACAAGACAAATCGAAAAACTTATCAAGCGATAAGTAAGTATATGGATTTATGTGATTTTAAATAATGATAATTAGATGATTCACATAACACTGTCCACAAAGCATCAAAAGAAAAGATACAGACAACAGGGCTACGAACCAGACATAGAACAGGCCATGCTGAATGTGAAGCCAGGCCGGACGTGTCCATTTGAGGACATGTGCCGGACTGGAGGGATACATACATTATTACCTGTAGAACTGGCCTGGGGGGATGCCTGCTCTTCATACAGGTCAGGTAATACAGGAGATCCTGAGGGGCGGTCGTCGCTGATGGACTGCAACGGAACAAAAGATGATAAGCTTGAGTGACACAGGGAAACTAAATAGACTACACAGTGAAGGAACCAAGTAGTCTACATATCGAATCATAAGTTGGGTTCCGAGGGGTGGTTTGTTTGTTAAGGATTTTACATCGCGGCAACAGCTAAGGTCAAATAAAGATGGTATTCACAGATGATGGGGCCCCATCATGGGCCACATGTAAGTGCCGACATGCTGAAATATCTTATCAAACCTTGAAATGGTAGCATGATATTCCACACATGATTCTGACAGTGGACTAAGCAGTCGTCACTTTGGTCAATAAAGTCTAGTAGGTATATAGGTGATACAGGTAGGTGATATTAAGGTCTGTTAAGTAATTAAGAAGGAAAAACACAGAAAAGTAATGACAATTAAGGAAAGGTCACATTCAACCCACAACTCATGGATTAATTTTGTTTTTCAATAATGAATTTAAAGAAATAATAAATTTGATTGTTTTTTTTCTTTTTTTCCTCTGACAATGGAAATTACACTAGCTGAACATTTTCTGTGGGTTTTCACACTCAACACGTACCTTCCTTGTAATGGGTTTCCGGGACTTGTCCTTGTTTTCCTTAGACTTCTGTATAGCCTGTAGGACAGCCACTGTGTCCAGCTCCTGCTGACTGGGCTTGTGGTCGTCCAGAAGTACCTACAGCACACCAACCATTGTAAAGGGTTCAGGACATAAACAGTGAAAAGTGTTTTCTAATTACATAACCATTACACACATATATGTACATGTACATACCGTATTTATCCAGCAATAAGACCATACTTGGTAATAAGGCCACCAATATATATTGCAGTAAGGAAGTAATGCCAACAAAGGTTTTTCATTGTCCTGTAATAAGCCCACCCCCAACTTTCAGTCAGACATTATGTGTTGTCCTGTAATATGCCCACCCCCTACTTTCAGTCAGACATTATGTGTTGTCCTGTAATATGCCCACCCCCTACTTTCAGTCAGACATTATGTGTTGTCCTGAAATAAGCCCACCCCCTACTTCAGTCAGACATTATGTGTTGTCCTGTAATAAGCCCACCCCCTACTTTAAATCAGACATTATGTGTTGTCCTGTAATAAGCCCAACCCCAGTACTTTCAGTCAGAGATTATGTGTTGTCCTGTAATAAGCCCACCCCTACTTTTAGTCAGACATTATGTGTTGTCCTGTAATGAGCCCACCCCCTACTTTCAGTCATACATTATGTGTTGTCCTGTAATAAGCCCACTCCCTACTTCAGTCAGACATTATGTGTTGTCCCGTAATAAGCCCACCCCCTACTTTCAGTTAGACATTATGGGTTGTCCTGTAATAAGCCCACCCCCTACTTTTAGTCAGACATTTTGTGTTGTCCTGTAATAAGCCCACCCCCCACTTTCAGTCAGACATTATGTGTTGTCCTGAAACAAGCCCACCCCCTACTTCAGTCAGACATTATGTGTTGTCCTGTAATAAGACCACCCCCTACTTCAGTCAGACATTATGTGTTGTCCCGTAATAAGCCCAACCCCAGTACTTTCAGTCAGAGATTATGTGTTGCCCTGTAATAAGCCCACCCCTACTTTCAGTCAGACACTATGTGTTGTCCTGTAATAAGCCCACCCCCTGCTTTCAGTCAGACATTATGTGTTGTCCTGGAATAAGCCCACCCCCTACTTTCAGTTAGACATTATGGGTTGTCCTGTAATAAGCCCACCCCCTACTTTAAATCAGACATTATGTATTGTCCTGTAATAAGCCCAACCCCAGTACTTTCAGTCAGAGATTGTGTGTTGTCCTGTAATAAGCCCACCCCTTACTTTCAGTCAGACATTATGTGTAGGCCCCCTGCGCTTATTGCAGGATATATACTGTAATTGACTTCTGTTGCAAGTCTTATATCATTACTAAAACTGCATAGCCAAAGAGACATATTATCAGTATAGTGACAAACTGATATTACAGCCCTTATAAGCCCACCCCCTACTTTCAGTCAGACATGCGTTGTCCTGTAATAAGCCCACCCCCTTCTTTCAGTCAGACATTATGTGTTGTCCTGGAATAAGCCCACCCCCTACTTTCAGTTAGACATTATGGGTTGTCCTGTAATAAGCCCACCCCCTACATTTAGTCAGACATTTTGTGTTGTCCTGTAATAAGCCCACCCCTCCTTTCAGTCAGACATTATGTGTTGTCCTGTAATGAGCCCACCCCCTACTTTCAGTCAGACATTACATGTTGTCCTGTAATAAGCCCCCCCCCTTCTTTCAGTCAGACATTATGTGTTGTCCTGGAATAAGCCCACCCCCTACTTTCAGTTAGACATTATGGGTTGTCCTGTAATAAGCCCACCCCCTACTTCAGTCAGACATTATGTGTAGGCCCCCTGTGCTTATTGCAGGATATATACTGTAATTGTCTTCTGTTGCAAGTCTTACATCATTACTAAAACTGTATAGCCAAAGAGACATATTATCAGTATAGTGACAAACTGATATTACAGCCCTTATTATGTGTATATAGTTACTGCTAGTCTGCATGCTAATTTTGGTGGTTCTAATTCTGTAATCTTTCCTGCCAAAATATAACACACCAACATCAATATCTAACAAGAAAACAACCATTTAAACATACTTATTTTCATCATTAATTAAAATATATTAAAAAATACCATCAGTATGTTAAAGACAGAGCTTTTTTAAATGTTTAATAAACTTGTGTGACAGTGGTATTGGAACTGTTTGATAAACCCTAAAACCATAATGTGACAAACTTGATTATACCTCTGATGCCCGGTCCATGAACATGGAGAGGACTTTAGTCCGGTAGTCCAGTACTGTAGTCACTGGATTGTTGTTCATGTGAAGTTCCTCTAGACAGGGCAATTTACACACATGTAGCACCTCTGTCATCTGGAGTACAACATATACACATACAGTCAATTATAGTATACAGCGAGATAGATACAAACTATAAAATCTGATCCGACACCTGAAGATTTTGACATCATGCCTAATTACTCATTCACCCCTGTAGACACATGTGAATCTCCAATTCAAAGGTTGGAATAGTTCATCATGAAATTTCAGGGGTGAATGATACTTAAAAATCCAATTTTCTAATAAAAACTACAAAATAAACCTGTATATTCTGGTATCCCATCTAAACTGACCAATACTTTTTGCATCCAACATGGTTTCAGATTAGACAGGTTTTACTGTACTGTTGTACACACCAGTGATGTACCAGTGTGGCACACAACGGTGATGTACAACTGTGGTACACACCAGTGATTTACCACTGTGGTACACACCAGTGATGTACCACTGTGGTACACACCAGTGATGTACCACTGTGGGACATACCAGTGATGTACAACTGTGGTACACACAAGTGATGTACCACTGTGGTACACACCGGTGATGTACCACTGTGGGACATACCAGTGATGTACAACTGTGGTACACACAAGTGATTTACAACTGTGGTACACACAAGTGATGTACAACTGTGGTACACACAAGTGATGTACAACTGTGGCACACACCAGTGATGTACCACTGTGGTACACACCAGTGATGTACAACTGTGGTACACACCAGTGATGTACCACTGTGGCACATACCAGTGATGTACCACTGTGGTACATACAAGTGATGTACCACTGTGGCACATACCAGTGATGTACAACTGTGCTACACACAAGTGATGTACAACTGTGGTTCACACCAGTGATGTACCACTGTGGCACATACCAGTGATGTACAACTTTGGTACACACAAGTGATGTACAACTGTGGCACACACCAGTAATGTACAACTGTGGTACACACCAGTGATGCACTACTGTGGCACACACCAGTGATGTACAACTGTGGAACACACCAGTGATGTACAACTGTGGTACATACCAGTGATGTACAACTGGTGTGTACCACAGTTGTACATCACTGGGGTGTACCACAGTTGTACATCACTTGTTTGTACCACAGTTGTATATAACTGGTGTGTTCCACAGTTGTACATCACTGGTGTGTACAACAGTTGTACATGACTGGTGTGTACCACAGTTGTACATCACTGGGGTGTACCACAGTTGTACATCACTTGTTTGTACCACAGTTGTATATAACTGGTGTGTACCACAGTAGTACATCACTGGTGTGTACCACAGTTGCACATCACTGGTGTGTGCCACAGTAGTACATCACTGGTGTGTGCCACAGTTGTACATCACTGGTGTGTACAACAGTTGTACATGACTGGTGTGTACCACAGTTGTACATCACTGGTATGTGCCACAGTGGTACACACCAGTGATGTACAACTGTGGTACACACCAGTGATGTACTACTGTGGCACACACCAGTGATGTACAACTGTGGTACACACCAGTTATATACAACTGTGGTACAAACAAGTGATGTACAACTGTGGTACACACCAGTGATGTGCAACTGTGGTACACACCAGTGATGTACTACTGTGGCACACACCAGTGATGTACAACTGTGGCACACACCAGTGATGTACCACTGTGGTACACACAAGTGATGTACCATTGTGGCACACATCACTGATGTACAACTGTGGTACACACAACTGATGTACAACTGCGGTACACACCAGTGATGTACCATTGTGGCACGCATCAGTGATGTACAACTGTGGCACACACCAGTGATGTACAACTGTGGTACACACCAGTGATGTACCTCTGTGGCACACACAAGTGATGTACAACTGTGGTACACACCAGTGATGTACCATTGTGGCACACATCAGTGATGTACAACTGTGGCACACACCAGTGATGTACCTCTGTGGCACACACAAGTGATGTACAACTGTGGCACACACCAGTGATGTACAACTGTGGCACACACAAGTGGTGTATAACTGTGGTACACACCAGTGATGTACAACTGTGGTACACATCAGTGATGTACAACTGTGATACACACCAGTGATGTACAACTGTGGTACACACAAGTGATGTACAATTGCTACACTCATGTCAAACCTCAGCTATTAAGAATGATATCAGGGCCCATTTGTTCAAACCCCGATACTTTAATGAGATGTTAAAGTAAATTCTAAAAGTGTCATGATCATTTGATGAGAAATGCAGACTGTATCTAGAAATTAAGAAATAAAAATTTGTTACATTTATGAAGGTTACAATTGTGAATCTCTATACAGTTTTAGTTTTAAATTTGATTGGGTTTGGTTGTTTGATTTGATTTGGTTTGTTTGGGATTAACATCTTACAGCTATTGTCATTTAACCCTTTCACCACTGTAGACCATATTGGACTCATCAAAATCAATGCATGGAAGAGTTAACTTAAGTTACATAGGGGTGAAAGGGTTAAGGAGGTGGCAGGTTTTGTTGGTAGAGTAAAGCCGGAGTACCGTACCTGAGAAAAATCATAGACCTGCGGCCAGTACCTGTTGACTGCCCAATGTAGGCCTTGAACCTGTAACCCAGTGGTGGAGGGCTACTGGTAGAAGAACGTCATTGTGGCCTCATTTGAATTTGAAACTTTTGTGACATTTCCTATATTAATGTGACTGACTGACATCAAACTTACCTGTGATATCTCGTTATGACTGACATCAAGATTTTCTAATGAAAACAACTTTGACAGTCCTAAAAAAACAAAAAAAAAACAGCAATGAAATAAACAGTTATTTCAAATCTGCAAAAATCATGCTGATCTCGGAATACTTGTAGGTGCTCATACTCCAATAAAAATAATTTCCCAATTAGGTCAAGAGTCTAATACACTTGTAAGATCACTAGAGGGTGCTTTATAACATCTGTAGGAAGGACAAAGATATATTAAACTGATTGAAAATTGCAATAGTAGGATATTCACTATATTTAAACATATCCATATTGTTCTAAGGGAAAATGATAAACTAGTAAGCTGTACAGATGGGTACCGGTATTTTCGGAAGTAAACATATGATAGAACATCATCCCTTATGAAGACAAGTGGTATTTTTTGGCTTCTTCCCACAGGAAACAGGTGAGCCTCCCTCATCATTATAATTTCCAAGTTATGCTTTCTTTTGTTCTCTGCATACCTGGAGAATGTCATGATGAAATGAAAGGCTCTGAACGGTAACGCAGTACACACCACCTTGTGGATGACTGCGTCCGATGTACACCAAAAACCCTGCATAGCAGCGTTACAGTAAAATTGATCAGCTTTACATAGCAGCGTTATAGTAAAATTGATCAGCTTTACATAGCAGCATTACAGTAAAATTGATCAGCTTTACATAGCAGTGTTACAGTAAAATTGATTAGCTTTACATAGCAGCGTAACAATAAAACTGATCAGCTTTACATAGCAGCGTAACAATAAAATTGATCAGCTTTACATAACAGCGTAACAATAAAATTGATCAGCTTTACATAACAGCGTAACAATAAAATTGATCAGCTTTACATAGCAGCGTAACAATAAAATTGATCAGCTTTACATAACAGCGTAACAATAAAATTGATCAGCTTTACATAACAGCGTTACAATAAAATTGATCAGCTTTACATAGCAGCGTTACAGTAAAATTGATCAGCTTTACATAGCAGCGTTACAGTAAAATTGATCAGCTTTACATAGCAGCGTTACAGTAAAATTGATCAGCTTTACATAGCAGCGTTACAGTAAAATTGATCAGCTTTACATAGCAGCGTTACAGTAAAATTGATCAGCTTTACATAGCAGCGTTACAGTAAAATTGATCAGCTTTACATAGCAGCGTTACAGTAAAATTGATCAGCTTTACATAGCAGCGTTACAGTAAAATTGATCAGCTTTACATAGCAGCGTTACAGTAAAATTGATCAGCTTTACATAGCAGCGTTACAGTAAAATTGATCAGCTTTACATAGCAGCGTTACAGTAAAATTGATCAGCTTTACATAGCAGCGTTACAGTAAAATTGATCAGCTTTACATAGCAGCGTTACAGTAAAATTGATCAGCTTAAAGTTATGTGTTGCTCCTCTGTAATCTTATATAAGGAAAGAATCAGTCTGGTCATAAATCATTTTTTCAACCCCACCAATCAAATGGCTAATTACGTACCCCCAATTTTGTCATGACATATTTTGGGGGTGTAAGCCAGTGTACGCCCTAGGACTCTGAGGATGACCTTTATAGGGCACAAGCTCAGGAAGACATAACGTTTAGTTTACCTTGTAGACTGTCTAGTTTGTTGCCAGCCAGGATCAGAGTCTTTAGGTTACCAATTTTGGTATGTAGGGCATCCAAAGATCTAAATGTGTTATATGAGAGATCAAGGAACGTCAGTCGACTCAACCAATTGAGGTGCTGGATACTCTTGATGTGATTGTGACCAAGATTCAGGACCTCAACTCGTGGCATCAGTTGCTTTAACAGATAAAAAGTTATTTCAGACAAGTAGGCAATTAATTTTGGTTTCGTTTTTATGTCAACCAATAAATATTACAGACCTATGTCTATCACATATAATCAATAATAATTTTTGTGCAAGTTGTGCAATCCATAAAATCAAAAGGGAGTGTTTAGATGTGAATATGAAAACTACAGTGAATTTTGAATGTTTGTATAGCATAAAAATAACTATATAAGCAGGGTTCGACACTAACACTAGTCCTGTAATCTGTGATCAGTAAATTTCAGCAAGGACTAGTGAATCAACTACCCTAACTGGTCCTTTGGACTTATATAAAACATGTGTTATCACAATATTATTTGACAGATTACAAATTATTACTTTTGGAAAAGTGCTTATAATACAGATATATTGCATGACAATTGTCATAATTTTCCTAAAAATTCACCAAGGCTTTTAATTTATGGCAGTAATTATTTGATGTTCCCTAGCCAACAGTCAGTTACTTTTTATTTTTCTTGCTTGAATCTTTCCTTAAGGAAATCTTGGACTAGTTACATTGACATAGGAATAGCAAATAATTTATTCCACTAGCCCTGTGGACTTACTGCCAAGCAAAAACGTTGGAGTCTACCGTCTAACCCTTTTATGGTATGAACAACTTTTTATAAGATTTACTTTCTAGCTGTGCTGCCGATTTTGGTTTTATTTGGTTGTGTCCTGGACATACAGGAGGTCAAACCATCTTATCAACCAACATGTGATGAAGTTCTGAAAACTAGTACATTAACACAAGGGAGGTAACTGGTTGTAAAGGGAGATAACTGACTCACCACACTATCATCTATGTCTGTGATGGTGTTGTGGCTGAAGTCGGCCTCTGTGAGCTTGTCCCAGTAGGATACCAGCAGGGTGCCATCATCTGCCTTCCACTGGGGCAGGTCTTGTAGCAGGATGTCCTGTAACATAGCACACCACAGTACAACCGGAATGCTGGGCAACTTCAGGACAAACAGAAGACTAAACAGAACTTAAAGAAGGCCCCCTTGTTTTGACAGACTTCTTCAGACAGCTTTTGCAGTCAGTATCTGTACTATAGATTTTTCAGTTCCTCAAGATACAAAAACAATATTGGACTTTTGAAGTATAGTAACACATGTACCCTGGTGTCATCGGTTTTCGACGGTGTAACAGCAAAATCGCTTTTTACCAACCATGTGAAATAAATTTATTCCAAGACTTACCAGTTAAGTCATTTACTATTATTGCCCTAATTTTATAAAGGATCGATTATAATATTTGATAATACAACGCTAGAAAATGTCAACAAACATGGCGACTGCCTAACTTGTGTGCTTGCGTACTACGTCATCAGTATTCGACGGTCATGCTTTCCACTGTACAGTGGCAAAATAGGACAGAAAAAAAAGTGAACTGTTCAACTATATTTGTTTGAGTTAAATAAATCTCATTAACTTCAGAAATTAACATGGAAAAGTCATTTTAAACAGTTTAAAACAGTTCAAAGATTTTTCGATGTTAACTTTTTGTTTTCATAGCAAGGAAAAGTTACTGCACAGCCCTCTCCCTGGTACGATCATGACAGAAGAAATTGTCACCAATTGTTTTCCCCCTTGGTGACTTTTTACCTAAAATAAGGGAAAATATATTTTATTTATGTCTCCGAATAAAAGGAAAGGAAATTATTCAACAAAATGTCGGTACGGAAGCAAACTAAAATTCTGTGAATCGCGTACGCAATGATAAGCTGACATCTCTTGGCTTACATACATTTTTTTTCCGAACTGAGTCTCCGCCCACATTTGTCACGTGATTTTGAAGGAGCTGTATGACAGCAAAGCAGACGAGAAGTCACAAACACTTTCAGGCTAATTTCATGGGTTTTTAAGGGTGTTAAACTTGGTGTAATTTTGGAATTATGCAAAACGGGGTTTAAACACTACATTGTAGTAAAAATAGAAGTTACCTACAGTACAGATCATCATTTTCCTAAAAAATTAAGAGAATTGTTGCAAGTGTGCCGGCGTCAAAACATAGCCTCCATGATCACCCCTGACATGACCCGCAAGCGCGCGCGACCCGGAAATGAACGACCGTCAAAAACAGATGACCGTCGAAAACTGAACACAGGAGGATATATAATAAAGTTGAAGGAACCTATAAGACATAATTCATTATTGATTGGTATCAAGGAGCAGATGTTCAGAAATACAGATATCAAGGTTTATTGTATTAGAAATATTGATCACAGGTATCAACAAAACAAAGTTCAATCATGATTATAAAGATGCAGATTTTTAATTAAGGTATCATGGTGAAGGTATATAGGTGCTGGCATATTCTTTGAACTAATCAACTTAGTAAAGGGAACACAAAATGTGGCAGTACCTACATGTATATGTATTATAAAACACTTAATTTACCCTGATTTTGCTGACACAGTAATGAAGAGATATTCTGTCCATTGTCTGTTTGATGGTTTCAATTCCTGAGATCTGAAGAGCAATACTGAATGATACCTGAGGAACAAAAAAAATAATTAAATGTCTATCATTGTAGGGGTAACCTGGTCCAAACTAAACATACCCCATGCCAATATTACCAGAACAAAAACTTGGATTTTTTTTAATATTCAAAATTTCCTACATTTTTTTTTAGTATTTACTTTTATTGTCAAAATGGAATTCCTAAAATGCAAATTTAATTCAAAATTTTAATAAGATATTGAAACCATGCCTTGAATTATATTTTAAACACTTATAAACACTTCTGTCCTACTGTGTTAGTTATACAGACCTCCAGGTACTGGAGGGACTTGAACAGTGAAAGGTCAAACTTAAGCTGTGACATGTCAATATTGCTGGAACCCACAGGATCTGTACTGCCAACCACCTGGAACAAAGTGAGTTTATTTTAGTACATGTACATTGTATCTCAATTCACTTTCTAGTATCCAGTTAGCCATTTTTGTATCAGAATAGTTATTTACTCCATATTTGCCAGTTCCTATTTACCCACATTTTATTAGAATTTAGAGGAAGTAGAAAAACCTTTTCTTGAACTTGCTGTACAATGTGAAATCTAGATTCTTTTATTGTTTTGAAAATGGTCCATGGTACTTCACAGAATTTTAGGTTCCAAGAATATGTACAGAGCTGGCTGTCTTCTGTACTCTGATTTGCCGCATCAATAATGGTTCGATTTATTTTGATAATTAGGTGTACATCGATCTACATGTAACTTCATATTAATATCTTCGAAAAGAAATATTAGCATATTTCTTACTAAATACTGTAAGTGATTTTGCGTAAAACACATTACACTGGCTTTGATCAAAGACATTAAAACAAACTCAATACAAAACCATTGTCATCAAACTCCTAGTTTCAGTTTCACACAAAGCATCTTCCAGAAATCAATCACAATTTTTAAAAAACTTAGTACATGTAATGTATACCAGGAGGTATATATAGGTTATTTTTGTGGGAATTTTGTTAATGTGACAGACTTATCTTTATACATTGTATCATCAAATTTAAATTTGCATCAGAAAAAAAAAACAATTTTAACATACTTATGTAAGTAAGTGAAATAACGGAAAGATGAACACTTTAGTTAAATGACAAAAGAATGATGCATCCTTAGACAAGCAGAATATCTTGTTTCATGATAAGTTAATGTTAGCCCTCTTACACAAGGACAACTCTTTGTAGAGGGATTGATCCTCGCTTCCCTACCTATCACAGCAGTCGTCTTTCAAACATATGATGCATGAAAATAAACTATTTAAATATTTGAAATAAAATTTAGGATGAACAACTTTTTTTCAATTTTCATGCATGTATAAATGCATATTTGTTACATACTATTTAATGAAACATTGGAAATGACTGTTCAATACATATGTTTACATTCTAAATTTTATAATTATAATTTATCTAAATATAGGTATTCTTTTATATTTTTTATATTCAAGTATCTGTGCACGTGTCGTCAGTGCAAACGAGTTTCTTGGAATAGCTTAACATCATAATTTGCTTCTAATGGTTAACAGTGTTTCACGTTATTCGAGACAAAAGGAGAAGCTTTAAAAAGATGCTGATCAAATTGTGTGTTTAGCCCTATGAACGAAATTCCTTCTGGTAATGCTTATAAAAGAACTTGCAATGGGAATGTAATTATATATAAATAAACAGTTACTCAATGTTCATTAGACCTACAGATTGTATACTGTGGTTTTCCGATTCTATTGTGACTGACTTCACCTTAGTTAACTCTCTCCAATATTACCTTTAAATATTTGACTCTCGTGATGAAGTCCAGTATGTGTCCTATATCTTTTTTCACGTCACCACTATCTGAAATGCACATGATTGAATTTTCACATCAAACTGTTCAAATACATAATAATGATATATAGTTTAAAATATCGTTTTGAGCTGTCAATTATGTCTGATGAAATTATAAATAAACGAATCAAACAAAAACAGTTATTACAATCTTGCGAAGCATAAATCTGGTCATCAATGCTATAGTTATCAGTGATTGAACACACATAGAGAAAACATGTACATGGTCAGTATCTGAACTACGGGTATTCTGGGTAAGGTAAGGACAGGTGAAGATGCTTTTCCATTCTGTTGTTTTCAGTTTGTTTGTTTCTTCTTCTTGTTCCATTTTCAGACAAATGTGCATGCTTGTGTAATAGTGTAATGATACCAAAAGTTCAAAGGAAATCTGTTCAATCATGGAGAAATTAATATTAGATTATAGTATTATACCATTTGTATTTAGAGGCATCTAAATCTTATAATATGTGTCACTACAGAATATAATATTTACATCTTTACTTCAAGATGTATTAATTATAATATCTCACACAAAACAGCTAACAGAGGCGTCAAAAGGCAGACAGAGAGGCAAAGTTCATAACTGGACATTACTTTTATAGTTAGAAATTCCATGTTAAGAAGAAGCAGCATACAATGCATTGGCTCAAAGCATAATTGTAATGTGAATAAATACATGTTTGAAGTGCTAATGAACTGCTATTAATTTGCATACATTCATGCAAGCCATGTAAATCTGTCCAGACAATTAAAGTAAAGCCATGTCCATATATTTACATTTGCCCCTGGGCCGTCCCATTACAACAGTGTTAGAGGGCAAGTGTAATTATATAGGCTATAATTACAACTGCTCGACTATAATTACAACTGCCTGTTTCAGGTGTATATGTAAACAAACAAAATGGCCGCCTGAAATGTATTTTGAGGCAGGGCAAATGGTTTTTGTAGGAACATGTCTTAAAAAAGAAAAATATGTAAATATAAAAAATACCTGGTTGTATGGATGTAATTATTGTTGATATAATTACATCCAGACAACCAGTTATTGTTTAAATGTTAAATACATGTGGATAAAAAATCACAAATTCCTGTGCAAAACCATTGACCTGAATTTCATGTGAAGAAAAGACTGCATTCTGTTTGTTCAATTTGAATGTTAATCAGATTGAATTTATTAGTTAACTATGAATTTAAAGTATATTTCTCTCACTCCTGTGCATATGATAGAACTGTATGGGGTAAGAAATGTCTTTCTTATAATTAACAAATTGCATGACCCTTCATGTGCATGATATCACACTTCAATGGGACAACAATTCTGTGATGTCACACTTCAATGGGACAACAATTCTGTGATGTCACACTTCAATGGGACAACAATTCTGTGATGTCACACTTCAATGGGACAACAATTCTGTGATGTCACACTTCAATGGGACAACAATTCTGTGATGTCACACTTCAATGGGACAACAATTCTGTGATGTCACACTTCAATGGGACAACAATTCTGTGATGTCACACTTCAATGGGACAACAATTCTGTGATGTCACACTTCAATGGGACAACAATTCTGTGATGTCACACTTCAATGGGACAACAATTCTGTGATGTCACAATTCAATGGGACAACAATTCTGTGATGTCACAAAATCATGATAATTCCAATGCCATGACACGGAAACTGTGACACTTTTGTAGTTTCCGAACTAATTCTCGCAATAAGAATGAGAGAAAAAAATACTTTTTCATACCCAGTTGCATAGGGTATGGAACTTATTTCACATTCTCAAATTTGAAAACTTTAAAATTGGTGCAAAGCCTTTGGTAAACCATGAGTTTCATTCAATTTGAAAACTATATATAGCTTAAATTTCCTTATCCTTTACCCCCGGGTATGAAAGCGACTTAAAATAAAGCCACTGCCAGTATATAGTGAGTGCATGGTGATGTCTAAATCTACATGTGTGGTAATTCTATAAGCTGAGCACTAATCTAGCTGATGATGGCGACAGATCATATTCATGAACACTTTGTTAGTTTATATAACCCGACTCAAAAGCTTTTCAATTTTCACAACTTTTTGCAGGATGTGTTCACATCTGAAGGGATTTCAAGCTTATAACCTACCTCCTAGGATAATAGAACCGTTACCATGCCAACAGCCAGATATAAAGAAAGCAAAGTATAAACCAAAATGTTAGAACCAGTTTAATACAAAGTGTTTACATACATACAACAATATAAAACACCCAATGACAATTCATCATAAACAACACAATACAATTTAATACATTACAAAAACGATCCCTTTAAGATATTAAATAATTAAATGTTTACCCACAATACCTAAACAAAACTTAAACAATGAAGACATTACAAGCACAACAGTGAAATGATATTTACTATCAGCTACATAGATAGATAGGCATCCCAAAAACAAACGTCCCTTTTTATCGCAATCAGGGTTTTCCCCCCGTTTATGTGGGATTGGGCCTTTTTGACTCAATCGAGAAGAAAATATACCGATTTGGAAGGAAACTTTCAGGAGTGAACTACAAACTTTTGGAATAAGACATAAATATAAAATAGTTTTAATCTGGAATTGGGCCCATTATCGGCCCAAAATAAATCCCCAGAAAAGCCAAAGACAACGGTATCAAACAAACTTTCTCCCCTGCAAACTACATAAATATGAGTAGCAGTGATTTATACAAGTTTGCATGTAGGATGTTTTTACACATCATACAGTTTGCAATAACCCTTGAGTAATGATTTAACAATTAACAATAAAAGCTAAGCATTGATGACACATAGAGAATGTCGTTATGTCATGTTGCTAAAACATACACCACAGACCATCTCTGTTATACAGTGCATTAAATTGTAACCTTGTTATATTATGTAGTCCTATATTGAAGTGTTGATGTTTTAAACTTTTTCAATTTTTGTGGCATAAAAACAAATATTAACCCATGGGGTTTGAGTATTTGAAAAAAATAATCAACAACAACAATAAACAACAACAACAACAAAAGTAATTCACTAAGGATTCCGGAGGATATATGAAATTGGAAAAAAAAAAATTCAAAAAAAGTACACGGTTATGACACTCACAGCTAGAGAGCGAAATCAACTTAAATTATGTTCTGAGATGTGTGTGGCTGATACTTACCACAGGTGGGCTCGGGCAGTTTGAGACGTTCTGTGAGAGAGAAGAGCTGTAGTGGGGTCACTTCGTACATCTCCCTAGCCTGGAGCAGGGTGTCCCCTTAACACAGAGGAAACACAACATCTTCAGTAACATTCGTCAGTTAGGGAATATCAAGGTGTTACTTTACATCTCCCTAGCCTGGAGCAGGGTGTCCCCTTAACACAGAGGAAACACAACATCTTCAGTAACATTCGTCAGTTAGGGAATATCAAGGTGTTACTTTACATCTCCCTAGCCTGGAGCAGGGTGTCCCCTTAACACAGAGGAAACACAACATCTTCAGTAACATTCGTCAGTTAGGGAATATCAAGGTGTTACTTTACATCTCCCTAGCCTGGAGCAGGGTGTCCCCTTAACACAGAGGAAACACAACATCTTCAGTAACATTCGTCAGTTAGGGAATATCAAGGTGTTACTTTACATCTCCCTAGCCTGGAGCAGGGTGTCCCCTTAACACAGAGGAAACACAACATCTTCAGTAACATTCGTCAGTTAGGGAATATCAAGGTGTTACTTTACATCTCCCTAGCCTGGAGCAGGGTGTCCCCTTAACACAGAGGAAACACAACATCTTCAGTAACATTCGTCAGTTAGGGAATATCAAGGTGTTACTTTACATCTCCCTAGCCTGGAGCAGGGTGTCCCCTTAACACAGAGGAAACACAACATCTTCAGTAACATTCGTCAGTTAGGGAATATCAAGGTGTTACTTTACATCTCCCTAGCCTGGAGCAGGGTGTCCCCTTAACACAGAGGAAACACAACATCTTCAGTAACATTCGTCAGTTAGGGAATATCAAGGTGTTACTTTACATCTCCCTAGCCTGGAGCAGGGTGTCCCCTTAACACAGAGGAAACACAACATCTTCAGTAACATTCGTCAGTTAGGGAATATCAAGGTGTTACTTTACATCTCCCTAGCCTGGAGCAGGGTGTCCCCTTAACACAGAGGAAACACAACATCTTCAGTAACATTCGTCAGTTAGGGAATATCAAGGTGTTACTTTACATCTCCCTAGCCTGGAGCAGGGTGTCCCCTTAACACAGAGGAAACACAACATCTTCAGTAACATTCGTCAGTTAGGGAATATCAAGGTGTTACTTTACATCTCCCTAGCCTGGAGCAGGGTGTCCCCTTAACACAGAGGAAACACAACATCTTCAGTAACATTCGTCAGTTAGGGAATATCAAGGTGTTACTTTACATCTCCCTAGCCTGGAGCAGGGTGTCCCCTTAACACAGAGGAAACACAACATCTTCAGTAACATTCGTCAGTTAGGGAATATCAAGGTGTTACTTTACATCTCCCTAGCCTGGAGAAGGGTGTCCCCTTAACACAGAGGAAACACAACATGTTCAGTAACATTCGTCAGTTAGGGAATATCAAGGTGTTACTTTACATCTCCCTAGCCTGGAGAAGGGTGTCCCCTTAACACAGAGGAAACACAACATGTTCAGTAACATTCGTCAGTTAGGGAATATCAAGGTGTTACTTTACACAAACAATGTATGTATCAGACGTGTCACAACATTTCAAAACTGACCTCCCTTTGTCAAGCTGTGACTGATTTTAAAGCAGACACATACAGCTTGTGTGTAAGCATGGTTACCTGATCACCTCCCTCACCTGGTGCAAAGGAGTAGGGCATCCTCTTTAGATAAATATCTGGCAACTGTTTACTGGTATTCAAACAAAAGTAAAAGAGGAATATATTATAGTCACTGTTTTTCCTTTCCATAATTCTAATTTTTGTAACTCTGCCTTCAAAAAAACATTACTGAAATAAACTCTTTTACGAAAATTTCATAAAGAACATCGAAAAATGATCTTTTCTGAATTACAGATCATTTAAAAACCACAAACGTCTGACATACCTCTGTTGTACAGATCTTCAGCCATACCCTGTGTAATCCCATGGATTTCCTGTCAAAAGAGGAAGAAATGTAATAATAATTATGCAAATAATTCATATTATCAATGAAACATGCATGGCAAATGAACACAATCTTACTATCGAATTATTGAGTATTTTTGTGAGGGTGATATTGAGATATCAAGAGGCAAATGAACTACATGTCAAGCATATTTGCCAAACCTCCCTATACGGCAGACTGTCGATATTGGACCCTTAAATGGAATGTTTTCAACCAGTGAATTTGCTTAACTGTTCCTATATTCTAAGATCTAATGATTTCATCTTAAAGAACAATTCAAAATTTGTCATTTTAAAGGGTTATTTTGTCTCTAGGGGTGTATACCCACGTTTTATTTATCTTTTAATTTTGAGTATGCATAACTTCCCCCATGGAAATTTCAAAAAGTTGGCAAGTATGGTCAAGTAGAACCCCTCGAAAGGTATAGACCTGCTTTATCACACTGCATGATCAAGAGACTCGGGGGCTTCTACTGTCTAAAGTGGGGCACCCTGCAGACTGGGGGGCTTCTACTGTCAGTGTTCTCTGCTAGGGGGACATTGAGGAAACCCAAAGTGATGTGGTGCCCCCGTTGCAAAACTTAGGGGCTATATATATATTTCATTTCTGATTTCCCCTATCCTGTCTCTTTCATTGGTGTCTCCCTAGGCACCTGTTTTCACCTGACCTAGTTACGCGGACGTTAAAACCCAAACAAAACTACCTGTAGTCTATTCTTATTATAACAGCCTGTATATATGACTTATAATAACAGCCTGTATATATGTCTTATAATAACAGCTTGTATATATGACTTATAATAACAGCTTGTATATATGACTTATAATAACAGCTTGTATATATATGACTTATAATAACAGCTTGTATATATTACTCCCTACAACACATTGTGTTTCTATAACTGGCTATGCAGAATACCTAGACAATACATGTGGCAGCTTTTTTGATGTGCTTACTGCTGGTATACGTATTCAGGAATTGACTTAATTGTCAGGTAGCTATTTGAAGTTATGATTTCTGGGATAAGCTGGCTTTTAGAGGGGACTGTTTACATCTAACTTCAGAACTATTTATTTTCAATCACACTTTTTGTAAGATAACTATATTAACAAGAGGCCTATGGGCCTTAACGGTCACCTGATATATTTATACAGAGAGTTGATTTTGTTTTTAACATGAACAGAAATATTATTCAAAGTGACAAAAAACAATAAAACCACCTTACTCAATATCTAGCATACAGATTTCAGACTAAAAAGGATTTGAAACTAGCACCTCTGAATATTAACAAGGAAAATGAAGAAATGTTAGCACACTGACTCCTTTGAGCTCCACCCTACAGCCCTTGGGGGTAGGGCTGGCTCAAAATTTTCAAAGTATCAAACTGTCAATTCAAGGTTATAATTCCAATCAAGTTATTAACATGTAATATT